CCCAAGATTTCCTTTATATTATTTTTATCTTTCATCTTTTTCATCCAACTCCTTGTTGTATTTATCCCTTTCTCCATTAGTGCTTCTTAAACTTAATTTTAAGTTTTGGGGAAACTCTTGAGTCTCTACCACTTGTTGTAAATGGTGAAATAGGTGGGCTCAATCTATATCTATATTCTTTCCAACATTCTAGCATGTTCATCAGAAAGGGATTAGTTGTTCTCTTTATTTCTTCTACAATCTTTTCTTTAAAGAGGAAATCCTCTAATCTATTAGAGTATTCCCTTTCCCTCCATATTAAGATTCTATTATGTGCAATAATATCCAGAATATGTCTAAGCTGGTTTGTGATGTAATACATTTTAACATTTGGTAATCCAAGCCCTTGAAGCTACCAATTTGACCAGACTCCAGGAGGCAGTGGAAAACAGTTGGGTCTGGCATGCTCTGGTCCATTGGGTCACAAAGAGTCGGACACGACTTAATGACTAAACAACAACAACAACAACAACACAACAAAGCTCTCCTTCTGTTTGTGAAATATACCAGTTACTTATCGATCTTTGTTCTTTTTCCCTCACAATAGTTATTTATCAACTTCTGCCAACCTTTCAAATATGTTTCTCCAATCTTTGTTGGGAGCATCCAAAATACAAAATTAAGTTCAAGAATAATCTTCATTTTACATAATGCTATTCTTCCAAACGATGACAATTTAAATTTTTGATACTGAAACAGGAGGTATTTTTGTAACTATATTAAGCAGATTTGCCTTCGGTTTAGCCTTTCCTCCACTCCATGTTTGCATTCTGACTGGCTGTTCCTCCATCTATTGCTCTTGCTCCTGCTCTTGGCCCTCCAGCTTGGTAGATTGTTCTCTCCATTTTTTTTTTAGTTATAAGTCCAGCATTCATCAGAAAGTTTAAGGCTGATCTCTCAGGAGTAACACTGTAATATTTCCCATTGTGATAGATTTTCATTAAGACTGAATGACCCCGTATAGACTTGATGTCCTTTGCAATTAAAATGGCTGTGATAACTCACATTTTTCTTCTATATGCAATCATTTCATGACAATAATTGTGGAAAACCATGATGTCATCATTTTCAATTCTAAACTACTCTGGATTTTCTTTCAGCACTTTCATTAGTTCCTCTTTTTCTCCCCCCTGTAGTTAGCAAATCTGACCAAAAAATGTTGTGGTTGGCCTCTGCCTTAACTCCAACAGCTGTTCATCCATACGCTACATATGAGACTCAATTTTGTTGCTTAATTTTAAAAAAATCTTTTTTATAATCTTGCATTGTATCAAATTTCTTGTCAAGGTTCTGTATTCTTTAGTCCCATGCTTTGATGTTTTCATTGACCTTTGTTATAGGTTTTAGTGACTTCTTTGTATCAACAGACTCTGGATCGGTCCTGGGTCCTCCTTGTGTTTTTTGCTATTTCTTTTTTTTTAATTATTATAAACTACAACATAAAATACACAAATCAAAATACAAATCAATTGTGTTCCCCACCACCCTAGTCGGGATCTCTTGCCGTAGTCATCTTCTTCCATTGTCTTTATTCTTATTCTTCCTTTATTGTCCCCTTCTCCAGAACTGCATTGATTCCTGATTTGGAACTTTCCCTTTTGTTAGCACACATTCAATAAATCTGCCTCATATTCTTGACCTTTAAGTTAAAAGTTAATGTATCATTTATATAAGTATTCCATATTTCATTAATACCATTCTTCCATTTGAAATTTAAGTTTTGATTTCCAATTCCTGCCTATTATTAATCTGGCTGTTGTTAATAAATTGGTAATCAACTCTCTAGACATCATCTCATATTCCACATTTACAAATATTGAAAATAAAGTTATCTCAGGATTAAATTGTATATCCCTTTCACATGTAGCAGCTAATACCTTAAAGATTAATTTGCAAAATCTTTGTACTTTTTCACATTCCCATCACATATGAAAGTATGTATCAATTTCCTTCTCACATTTCCAACAGATATTCAGATAATTAATTGTATTCAATTTTATCGGTATCAAATGCCATCTTAAACTTGGTTTAATTTTTTTTTCTTTTATTCTTACCAATGATTTCAGTGCCATGGTTTTGCTCTAATAACCTCTTTTAATTGTGATCACAGGATTTAGGAATGTTGGATCCCAATCTGGATGATGAACCTGACTCAGGATTTTCTGTTCTCCAGACAACTCTTTCCTCTTATATTTTTCACAGTAACTCTGCTTTCCCTTTGTCTTGTTCTTCCTTGTCTCATAAATGCCTACTTTTTTTCCCAATATAATACACAGTCCCGTTTATGTTTAAAAGTCTCCCGCAGTTATTTAAAACAGAAAAGCAACTGAAATGATTCTGGGCGTAATTATACGAATCTCCAGCAGACGGAGCCCAACAGCAGCTTAACAGTCCTGCGGAACGCACCACCACCCAGCCTTACTGTGCATGTCAGAGATCCGCTAGTTTCGGTTTTGATTCAGTTGGTTTGCCTATTTATTTTCTTACCGTTTATAATATTCTTTCCCCCGCTTCTCCCCCCCCCCCACCA